TTTGACCTCACTCTCCTGGACACACACCCTGCGTGGGGGTGTTCTGTGTGGTCTGGGTGTGCCTGCTGATGCATGAGAAGGGCGGGGGATGAAATGCCAAGTGTGTAGCACGGGCTACCAAGGTCTGGCTGGCGCTCTCCTCCATGAGCTCCAGCCAACCAGGGATCCCTCTGGTGCCATCCACAGACACCATGGGAGTCCCAGTGGGAACTATGGTCTCCAAAAGCTACCTGACATAAAGTTAAAGAGAAACCAGCACACGATGGTGTTTCCATTATAAAAATTTATCAAGAGAATTTGAGGTTTTTAGAGGTTTTCTTTAGCAGAGAACAAGAAAACTTTAAAACCATTAAAAATCATAAAAAAAATTTTAACCTGGTGAACAGGACCTATTATTCTCTTAGTTAAGAGACTGCTTTTCTCCATGGAAAAAGCTGATGTCCAAGCTATACTCTCACTGCCCTGTGGCTTGACAGAGCACCTTACCAGCACTGGCTCTTGTAGGAATCAAGGGGGCATCTGACACAGATGTCGTGTCGACTGGGAGCCACAAGTGGAGTCTGTGACTTGCAATGGGACTATTTCATTCATCATCCAAGCAGGTCACTTACGAGAATGGAAGAACACTTGGGAACAAAAGGCCTAACCTGAGACCCTAGTGATAAGGCGTGTGCCCCATCAAAGTTGGGATGCTCACCTGGTGCACAATACCCTGGGATCTGTGGTTAGCACCATTTAAGAAGGTAAACAGTATAGGGTTGGGTTTGGACAGGAAGGATGCCACCTTCCAGAGGACACTCAACCAGACACAGAACACAGCAGCTCAGGTGAAATTCCAATGGATATTAAAATGAGGGTTGAGCCTTTCTCTTCCCAACAAGTCTAGTTTCCAAAGGGGTGGAGCTAGCAGAGCTGTCCATCCTTGGTCCACTATCCTGGGGCTCCTGGGTGCTGCTTCTGCCTCCCCATCCCACCAATGTGCCCATCACTGTTAGTCTTTTGGGGGATTCTGGACCAGGTGCTGCTCCCACTCGACTTCAACCAACTTGTAAAGCTCCATGGTGGCTTGAGCATCTTCCACAGAGGAATGTCCGCTCTTCCCCACCTGAACAGGAAGATAAAAGTAAGATTCGGTTCCTAAAACTATGTATGAAATATATGAAATTGATTTCCTTTGTACAAATAGTAACAAATGAGAAGGAAAAATAAACACATTTGGTCCCATGCAAAAAAAAAAGCATAAGGCAACAGGACACAGCTTCTGGTCCTGGGGCCTCTCTCCTCCCCAGGAACGGCACTTCACTGAGGGCCGCCTCCTCATCTCATTTCAACTCCTTTCCTACTGCCTACTCAGGTCTTTCTGGGGCGACACATGTAGGCCATCGTGTGAGTTCTACAGTCATGGAACATGCCAGACCAAGGACAGGCCTTGTGAGTCCTCTGCCTTCCCAGCTCCTATGTAGGACTCACGTCTGCAGCTTCTGTCCAGGAAGGCCCCAAGAGGTCAGGCATACGAGATTCACAAATGTTCCTTGTGTCCCCCACGGGGTCTCCCACAACTACTGTCTGCTCTTTCCCCTTCTTGGCCGGGATTTTGTATCCACTTTGGCTATTTCCCCCCTCCAAACTATCCTCTGGAACTTTGTAAGGTAGAGAACGGGAGCTACCACTCCTACATATGGGTAGGACACTCCTGGGTTACTTAAGCCAAAGCCCTTCCCATTAGTCGGAGTGTGGAGAGGAGATAGTAATGAGGCCCCAGCCTGAGCTGGGTTGGGGGGCTGGCCCGCAGGGAACAGATGGCTACCTGGATGTCCCGGTCCAGCAGCTGCTTAGTAAGACGCTTCAGAGACATGGTGGCGTTCTCTGGGAAGTCGGCCTTCCGGTTGAGGAGGGGAATATGAGAGGTGTCACGGGTGAGGGACTTGGGGTGAAAGTACTGGAGGGCTTTGAAGTCATTGTGGATGGCATGCCCCACCACTATCTTCCCTGTGAGGATCTTCAAGATCTGCAAGGAGTGTGGAGAGGAAGTGAGAAGGCAGGCTCTATGGCGGCACCTCTGCATCCCCAAGGCCCACTTGGCCCTTCTAGGGTCTTCTCACCAATCACCCACCCATCCACCCTGGAGATGCCCTCTCCCACAGTTCCCTTCCTCCTGAAATCCACCTCCTCCTCCCCGGGATGAGAGCAGGTGACTCCCACGGCGTGGCGTGACCCTACTTAGACTTAGATTGCCAGGGGCTCCTCTCCTTCTCATGAATCCCACCCCCAGGACAGATTGATTCACCTTTAGCCTTAATCAAACTCATGCTTTGGATATTTGCTTAACTGTCTAGCTCAATGCTGACTTGCTACTTGAAGTTCTTTGTCACTACTCTGGCCTCCAACATGGGTGTGCCTCCCTGGGCCCCCTGGAAGAGGCCAGGCGCAGTCAGCTGCCTTCAGCCCAGCTCAGGCAAAGGCACCAGGCCAAAATCATAAGTAGTCCTACCCATAGTGCACGCAGGTGCTTTACTGTCCACTGCCAGTTCAACTTCCCATGGACTTCAACACAGCACTCATCAGAGCGGAGCAGATTTGCTGGCAGACCCATCCCACCTTCTGCCATTACTGGCTGTCTCCCAGCGCACACATTGACAGAAGCTCGGATTAATGATTAGAGTTGCGATTCAAAACCAGGCATTATGATAACAGAATGTCAGAGTCTTAACTAATAGCCCAAAAACCACCCTCCTGAAACTGAAGGTTCTGGCATGCAGGGAACCAGTGAAGTGAGATGTCTATGGAGAAGGTAAAGAACCTGGATTCAAAGTCATGACACATGGGCGTAGGGCGCCCTCTGGTGGCTCTTTGCAATTTCCTCCCTCCACAGACCTCAGTTTACCCTCCTTTCCTGTTCATCTGTTGGGTTCCCAGGGACAAAATGAGTGGGTTTACTCAACGAGAAGGGACCCACCCGAGTCCTCATGTCCCTCACTACACACTATCTGTTCCACTTACATAACCACGTGCCGGTTCCTCTGTCCTCTTACCACCACCACTCCCACACCTGCTCCAGGCAACTGTTCACTGGAGATGCTCCTCTCTACCTCTGCCTCCAGCCCTAAAATCCCACCCTACATGGCTCTGCTGAGTTGAGCCCTTTCACCCCGACATCGACACCTGCTCTCTTTCTCAGTGGCTGTGCCTTTACTATGCATACTCCCAGCTCCCCGGACCAGGACCTGACCTGGCACCTCAAACAGCCCTTGACAGTCAGACTTGCTCGCTTCAGCCGCTCCTTCTCCCAACATACTCTCCTCCCTCTCTCTGCAATCTTCTGCCAACTTCCCAGGGCAGTATCCTTGGAGAAAAAAGGACTTGGACCTCTCCCCACCCGCTCGCTCGCTCTTTGCTGCAGTCCAGTGCCAGGCTTTGTACCTGGCTCCGGGCAGTCTTGAAGGGGGTAGCATTGGCCATGTGCTGCTTCCGGATGCCGCTCCACCGGGTCCGGTAGTCCACGATAGGGCAGGGGGGCAGGATGTACTCGTCGTAAAGCACGTCACCGTCGTAGTTGACAATGCTACACCGGGCCAAGGAGCTGATGTGCCCCTTGGGGCCTGTGCCCACCATCTCACAGTCTATTGCCACCATCTTCCCAGGCAACTTCTTTTCAGACTGTGCCTGGCTGGGGTGCTGGGCAGTCCGCTTCCGGTGGCCTTTCTTCTGGGAGCCAGCGGACTGGCCCTTCACCTTCGGCAGGGCGCTCTGGAACTCGCCCATCAGATCCACTTTAGCGGCCAGGGCATCCACCTTCTTCGAAGCGGCCGGGGTCAGCCAAGACACGGCTGCTTTCTTCTCCTGCGGCTGCTCAGACCCCACATTGGAGGCCGCCGTCTTCTTCTTCTTTGGGAGGGAAAGGGCCTTGCATGCACCATCCACCTTGGGCGTCTCCCCTTTCTTGGGAGGTTCGGAGTTCGACTTAGCAGCCCTGCTGGGCAGCTGGTTCTTCTTATTCAGAAAGCCCTTGCGTTCCAAGAGCCGCCGTCTCTTGACAAAGCTGCGGTGCTTGGCATTTCCTTCTAGGGCCTTTTTGGGAGGGGGTTCCCCAAAATCTAGATTCAGAAGCAACGTAGCCATGAGAGCTGATGGTGGCTGAGGAGTTGGCTAGCGTGGCTTACGGATGATACGTCAGGGGCTTCATCCCCTGCTGAATTCCAGGGCCGAGCATGGGGAGCTCTGTGTAGACCCTGGGGAAAAAAGGAAGCCTCGTCAGTGAAGCCAAAAATCTGGGTGTCCTGGGGTGTTATGTGTGTGAATAAGACGAATCCCTTAAGGACTGAAGGGAGGAAAAGCAGCACAGCGACCCCTCAGATGGCAACAAACTGTAACAAAGTTTGTCATAAGATGACTTATCAAGGACCACACACCGGCAGCATGGTCCTGGAGGCGGGATGTACATGGACCCCGAGCTCTGCCAGCCAGTACAGGTGAGTCCAGATGTCCGCGCATGGGGAAGAGATCTAAGGTGGCTGGAAGGCAGCGAGACGCACGGCGCAGGGGACCTCGGATGACCTGGGCACCTGCAGCGAGGAGACCGCGCATCCTGGTACCCCCTTTTCCTCAGCTCCAGCTTCACCCCAGGTCCTCCTGAGCGGAGGACGGCTGCCGTCATCCTGGCAGTGGGTGGGCGTGAGAGGCCAGAGGGAGAGGCCATCTCGGCGAGCACCCTCCGTCTCTCCCCGGGAAACGCGGTCCCCCAAACTCACACACTTACCCGCTAGCTAGGCCCCGCTAAGAGCGCAAGCGTCCGCAGCCGGAAGTGGAAGTGGGCGCGCGCCGCCGAGGCCCCGACCGGCAGGCGCGCGGGTGGCAGCGCGTTGGGGGCCGGCGTGCGCGCGCCCGCGGCGCGCCCACCTCCGGCAACGAGGCCAAGGACTCGGAGGGGGCGAGGAGCGGCAGCGGCGGCGGCGGGGGTGGCGGCGTGGGCGGGGGCGGGGGCGGGATGCGCTCCCCGGCCCCTCTGGCCCCGTGCAGGTACAACTTGAAAGGGTGGTGAGGCCGCCACAAACCGGAACTACAGCGCTCCAGGAGCCACAACCTCCACTTCCGGGAGAAGGGAAGTGAACGCTTGACGCCGGACGGGGGGGGTGAGGTCCGCCCTTCGCCGTGACGGCGGCGATACGCGCCGCGCTTCTGTGACGTCACGGCCATGGCGCCGTCACGTGCCTCCGGGGCACGGTGAGTCGTCGCTGCCTGTGACGTAGGCGAGCGAGCTTGTCTCTTATACCTTAGCGTGGTTTCCCAGATGGGCAGTCCGGGCTCTGCGCCTGCGTGGAACTGACCCTGCGGCTCCTCGTCGCATCTGCTGACTTGCTGCTCCCCCAGGATGCCGGGCGTCTCAGCCCGGGGCCTCTCTCACGAGGAGAGGAGGCAGCTGGCCATGAAGCTCACCCGTGTCCTGACACTCTACCGTTCCATCCTGGACGCTTACATCATCGTGAGGCCCCAGGGGTGTGGGCGGGCTGATCGTGTGGTGGACCAAGTGCCCACGGCTGGGAGAGACTGGGGAGAGTTAGTCGCAGGTCTCTTCGTCAGTTTGAGTCTGGGGGCCTCTGCAATAAGTGGGTATTTTGTAATTGAAAAGTCAGATCGACAGAGAGATAGAGGTATCTTCCGTTTGGATTCACTCTGGCAGCGGCCGGAGCTGAGCCAATCCAAAACCAGGAGCCAGAAGCTTCCTCTGGGTCTCTCACATGGGTGCAGGGTCCCAAGGACGTAAGCCATCTTCTGCTACCTTCCCAGGCCACAAACAGGAAGCTAGATGAGAAATGGAGCAGCCGGGATGCTAACCTGGCACCCACATAAGATGCCAGCGTTAGCAGGTTAGCCTGTTGAGCCACTGTGCCGACCCCAAGTTTAATATTTCTGATAATTAAGAAAAAAACCACATGAACATTTGAGCCATGCTGCAACTAGGCTGAATTCTCTTAGGAATATGTGTAATATTCCCAGAACTCACATTTGCCCATCCCAGGCTTTGCATGTATTCCTGGTTTTGTAGTAGGCACTCTCAGCTTTGGAATCAGACTGGGGTTGGAATCCTGTCTCCCCCTGCATTGCTAACCTGCATCTTGATTTTATAGGACTTCTTGTCACCCCTCCTAGCTCTGGTTTCCTCAGCTGTAAAACAGATCCGAGTCTGAGGAGTTCTTGTGAAGAATGTAAGTGAGAATACAGTGTCAGGCCCCAAACCTAGAGAAGCACCAGTTCAGCTCTTTGTCTTCCTTGATTCACATTGTGATCCTTCATTGAGTCCTCCTAGCCCTACCTTCAAAATACATGCAAGATTCACCTGTTTGGCTTCAGCTCCTGTCCTGGGCCAGGCCACCGGCATCTCTCCCCTTAGCTAAGCAGTAACCAATCTGTGGGCGCTTTCCTCTGCCCCTCCATAAACAGTTTCTATCTTTGCAAGGGTAGATCTGCTCATGATCCTCCTGTGTGTTCTAGGTGCTTAGATGATACTCTGTCCCTGCTCCATGAAGCTCTGCTTCATCTGGCCCCTGCCCGCCTCTTCAGCCTTGCCACATTCCAGACTCCATGCTCACTGGCCTGTGCCAATGCCCAACCACTTTCTGTTCCAGAAATACTGCAGGCTTCTGGAGCTGCATGGCATTTTCTTGCACATCATCAACACTACAGAATGGTTAAGTCTTTCTGGTCCAGAACAGGGATCCCTAGAGTAAAATGGGTTTCAAGTTTCTGCCTCTGTTAGGTACTAGCTGTTGGAACAGTGTCTCAGTTTCCTGAACTGTGAAACTGGAGAGAAAGGAGTAGTTCCTCCCACTCTGGGTGTTAACACATGTCAGGTCTTTACAGCTATGCAGAGAGAGAGAGAGTGTTGTGTGTTTGCTGTTGGCTGATTTTCTTTGCATGTCTGATTCCTGATCATCATCTAAGTCTCAGCTCATGTGTCACCTGTCCGGATAAGTCTTCCATCGCCACCTTCATCTGAAGTAGTTCTTGCTCAAACTCTCCATTTCATTAGCACTGCAGTGTCTGTGTGGCGTTTGATGTTATCTGAAAAAGTTTTAAACCTTGAAAAGGCAGAAGTCTTCTCTGCTTCTTTGTTGTATCCCCTGTGCCTAGAAAAGCTTGCCCTGTTGCCAAACAAAGCCCGGCATTGTGATAAAACAAAGGATGCATGCAGATACATACATGTGTGAGACACAAAAAAGAGGAACAAGCTAATATCGTGTGGCTGTCCCTGGGATGGGTACTAGGGATGTAGTTGTGGGGAGGATAATACCATTACTACCCTGAAGTTCTTTGTGTAAAAAAAAAATATAGATAAAAGGAAATGGCTAAAACTAAGGGTTGTGTTCAGCAGGCCTTCTAGGTGTTCTGGGAGGCAGGGATCCATTGCCTGGGCATTGGGGAAGGCTGCAGCAGGCCTCAGAATTGCCTCAGATGGTTACGGAGTCCCTAGTGGTCACTGCCAGTGGCCCTAGGTGGTAGCCATGCTGAGACGAGGCAGGTGACAAAGTAAGGCATTGAGGGCATGGGCATGGTGGGAGGTCAGAGCCTGCTGACTACTGCTCTCCTCCTGCAGGAGTTTTTCACAGACAACCTGTGGGCCACACTCCCTCGCTCATGGCAGGAAGCCCTGGATGGATTGGAGCCACCCCAGCTGGCCACACTACTGCTGGGAATGCCTAGGGATGGGGAGGTGGCAAGGTAGGGGCTACAGGGACCCCAGGCTGGGGAACTGAAGGCGCTATATTATTGCTCCAAGGGCCTTAAAAGGAGCTTCGGGGCCTCCCGGGTGGTAAACTCATTTGCCTGCGATGTGATGGGACTATTTACCAGAGGCCTGGACTGGCCTGTCTCAGGTATAGGTCTGTGTGGCCACTCACCCTGCTGGCCTTGAAGTCCACAGCCTATGCTCTGGCCTTCACCCGGACGCCTGGCTTCCAGACCCCCTCTGAGTTCCTGGAGAACCCCAGCCAGAGCTCCCGACTAACAGCTCCGTTCCGGAAACATGTCAGGCCTAAAAAGCAGCATGAGATCCGGAGGTTGGGTGAGGTAAGGGGATGACTGGGGAGGGGCTGGCAACCAGAGGCCAAGGGACTCCATGAGCCTGTCGTTTGCACAGATGGGTGCCCCTCAAGCTTCCCCGCAGGCCTAGAAGTCAGAGGCTGCCTTGCCCACAGATGCGCCGTACTTGGGACCCCCATGCTTGTTGGCTTTGTTGTCCTGTACTGGCTGGGTTGGTTGGAGGCTCCAAGTCAGCCTTCTGCCTGTTTCACATCTCCACCTTCTGCTCGTGGCTTCACAGCAGGGTTTTTGTTGGGTTGGAGTGACTGAATTTCTGACCCAGGGGGCAAGGAGAGTGGCCCGCACTTGGGGGTCAGTACCCACCTTTACCCCTACTTGGCTGGCATTGCCCACCTTCCTCTGCCCTCTGCAGTTTCTGCACCCTCATTCTGACTTTTGGCCCCAAGAGTAGGGAACCAATAGCCAGGGCACCTCTGCTCCCTCCTCTTATAGCTGGTGAAGAAGCTGAGTGACCTCACAGGCTGTACACAGGTCGTGGATGTGGGCTCAGGCCAGGTAAGAAGACCCCTATTGAACTTGTTCGCTTTTTTCCTAAGGATTTATTTATTCATGCTTATTTGAAAGGTAGACAGTCATCAATCTTGCATCTGTTGGTGCATTTCCCAAATGCCCACAACAGCTGGGCCTGGGGTAGACCAAAGTCAGGAGCGTGCAACTCCGTTCCAGGCTTCTCATATAGGTGCCAGGGGCTCAGACACTTGGGCCAGCACGCTGATAGAGGAAGGTCACCTTGCAGGTGGAGGCTCTGCCCACTGTGCCAACAGCCCTCCTTCCTTTCTTGACTCCAGGGCCATCTCTCCCGCTTCATGTCCCTGGGGCTGGGACTGACAGTGAAGAGCATCGAAGGGGATCAGAGATTGGTGGAGAGGGCCCAGCGCCTGGACCAGGAACTCCTGCAGGCTCTGGAGAAAGAGGAAAGGAGGAATCCGCAGGTAGGCTGCCCCTGCCTGCGGGCTGGGCTGTGGGAGCAGGGTCCACCTGAACTGGAGTTGGGTGTGGAGGCTGAAATCCATGCCTCCAGGATGTGGTCCCTGTTTTTGCCATCTCTTTCCCCAAAGCCTTCCCCTCATATCTCCAAGGCACATTCTAGCTACAAAGTGCTTTCCACACCAATACAGATTTCCCCCAACCAGCTGTGATTTGCTTGTCAGATATAAGGTAGCAGAGCACTACAAGAGAGAACACTGGGTCTCTTAGAAGAATAGTAAGACAAAGTAATGGGGCCCCACCTTCCTCCCTGGGAAGCAACAGAGGACCGATCCCTTCCTGTGGACAGAAGCTGCCTGAGACAGCAAATTCTCTTCTGACCAGACCTCTGTCTCCTCTTCCTGTACAGGTTGGCAGAAGCAGCCCCCGCCACTGCCCTCACCATGTGGTCAGATGGATTGACCCCATGGCCTTGTGCGAGGAGCTTCTGCTGCCAGTAGAGAAGCCAGGACAGAGTCCTGGAGCCCGCTTGCTCCTCACAGGCCTGCACGCTTGCGGAGATCTGAGCGCCACCTTGCTCAGGCACTTTTGCCTCTGCCCCGAGGTGGCTGCTTTGGCCTCCGTGGGCTGCTGCTACATGAAGCTCAGTGACCCTGGTGGCTACCCACTGAGTCAGTGGGTGTCTGGGCTGCCTGGCCATGCACTGCCTTACCGGCTGCGGGAGGGGGCCTGCCATGCCCTGGAGGAGTACGTGGAACGGCTGCGGGAAGCTGGTCCTGGCCTGCGGACACACTGCTACCGCGCCGCCCTGGAGACAGTCATCCGACGGGCCCGGCCAGAGCTCCGTCGGCCAGGAGTACAGGGGATCCCCAGGGTCCATGAGCTCAAGATTGAAGAGTGAGCTTGGGGAATGGGGAGCAGGGGTGACTCATCTGGGGGCTAGATTCCCTTTCCACCCTCCCTTATTGGCATGGCCCAAAAGGAAAGGTCATACGGGCTCAGTTTTGAGTTTTCTGGCCTTCGCAACTTCTCAAACTTTGCTTAAAGGGGAGTTGTGTCCCTCTTAGCAGAAGGCTATCCAGGAGTTTTTAAAATGTTAAAATGAGGCTGATAGGAGAGAGCTGGCTGGAGGTAACTTTTCGGACCAGTTTGCTACCCATCAGTCAGCTCACAGGGGTGCAGTGACACGTGCACGTCAGGGTAGCACAGCCGGAGCAGGCAAAGTTTAAGTGGGAGGTGGAGGGTCCTGAAAGCACACCGAGCACTGTCCTTGGTGGACCTGCAGGTATGTGCAGCGGGGGCTCCAGCGAGTGGGCCTGGACCCCCAGATGCCACTGGACTTGGCTGCCCTGCGAGCCCACCAGGCCCAGGAGAACCGCGTGGTCGCCTTCTTCAGCCTGGCTCTGCTGCTGGCTCCACTGGTGGAGACATTGATTCTTCTGGACCGGCTGCTCTACCTTCAGGAGCAGGGTAAGGGTGGCCACAGCAGGACTCTGGCCAAGATGGGTGGGGTCCAGAGCTCCCTCAGGTCCTATCCCCCTCCTGCCACTATCTGTTCAGCTTGTTTTATTACTGGGGTGGTGGTGTTTTTAAAGATGACAGTGACAGATTGTCCCTTTGTTGGTTCATTCCCCCCAGAAGATCACAAGAGCCAGGAACTCCATCCTGGGCTCCCATATGGATGGCAGGGGCCCAATCTGGGTCATCTTGTGCTGCCTTCCCAGGTGTATTAATAGGAAGCTGGATCATGGGCAAAGCAGCTGGGACTCGAACCGGCACTCTGATATGGGATGCTGGCAGTGCAAGCAGCAGCTGAACCTTCTGTGACACAATGTTGGCACCTGTGGTGATTTCATTTTAAAAGGTCTCGACAGAGTGATCTCCTCTTAGCTAGTTTACTCCCTAAATGCCTGCAGTTGCCACTGCTGAGGTGGGGCTGAAGCTGAGAGCTGGAACCTCAATCCAGGTCTGCCCTGTGGTGGCAGGAACTCAACAGATTGAACCATCACTGCTGCCTTGTAGTATTTGCATCAGTAGGAAGCTGGAGTCAGGAGCTAGAATGTGGGTATCTTAACCTGTGGGCTAAATGTGCAACCCTACTGTAGTGATCCTTGGACTTCCTGTTTCTGTCATCAGTAGGGTAGAGGGTTTGTCTCAGATGCAAATTGCTAGGGCCAGCATTTGCAGCCCAGTAGCTGAAGCCAGCATTTGCAGCCCAGTCCTGGCTGCCCCACTTCTGATCCAGCTCCCTGCTAATACATCTGGGCACACAGTAGAAGATGGCCCAAGTGCCGAGGTACCTGCCACTCACATAGGAGATCTGGATGAGTTCTAGGTTCCTGGTTCCTCGTCCAACCCCATCTGCAGCATGAATCTGCAAATGGAAGAGCAGATTCAAACACTCTTTCAAACATATATTTTTATAAACTTCTACCAAAGCAGCCTCTGGCCATGCATGTTAAGTTGTTAACCTGCATTGCAGAAGGCTGCTACCCAGGTTAACAGCTCAGACACCGTCTCTCTCCTGAGAGCAGTCTCCTTGGTTCCCTGCAACCTCCTGTGAGGAACAGGGATTGTGCCTGCACACTGGGCAAGAGGTGGAGTGCACGGTTGGGTCATGTCTCCTTACAATTAACCCTTCCTTTCACCCAGGCTTCCATGCTGAGCTCCTGCCTATCTTCAGCCCAGAGCTGTCACCCAGAAACCTGGTGCTGGTGGCCACCAAGATGCCCCTGGGGCAGGCCTTTTCTGTCCTTGAGACTGAAGACAGCTGACACAGTCCAAGGAAGGGGACACGACAGGCCCCTGCAGAAAGCTCCCAGATGCTTGGGTAGCCCGGAGTACCTCCTCATCCAGAGCTAGCACTCCACACCCTGCCTGGAACTCTGCTACCCTTGTGTGTCATAGGCTCCCTCCTTTTTTGTGTGTGATGTAAAAGTGTGTGAGGTCTGATTTTTAACTTATTAAAACATGGAAGATTGTGTATCTCTTCCATTTCTAGAAGCACCCTCTCTGCCACACCCCTGCAGGAGGTAAATTAGGTTTCATGTCCGCTCCCCACTGCCCTCAGACTGGTGGCAGAAGCCTTTCCCTTTGGCTCCTCTCCTAGAATCAGCCCTGAGCAGGCTGTCCTGAGGCTGCCTACCTTCCACCCAGCTCCATCACAGCCTTAGGAAAAGGATGGCTCTTCTTCCTTGTGTCCCTGAGACAGAGGTATGGGGGCCCACCTGCCACAGACCACAGCCACACATGCCCGTGAGGACTCATGGCACTTTATTGGCACCTGAGGGGCACCTGCCGTCCTCAGGCTCAATACCAGTAGACTTTCTTGTATCTCCGGGTCTCCTGGATGCCCATCGCCTCCATCACTTCCTCTTCCAGTGTCTTTAAACGGGGCACATAGGTTTTTTCTAGAGCATCTTCCACTGATGTGTCCTTGGGACCATCTGCAGAATCAGAGCAAAGGAGATGGGTGGGAGGGCTCAGCAGGTTGCTCACATCCCTTCCCTGCCTGGCCCTCACCCAGCCTCACCGATCCACGTTTCAGGGACAATGCCGTCAGCTCTGGGAAATTCAGGTTTGGGGATAATTCTCCCTGATCTTGTAGAGACTCGGACACGCTCTCCTGCCTCAGTAAACCTCCACTCGATCTCTGTGGGTTTCCTGGTGAACAAAAGAGGTAGATGGGCCCCCCCTCAGCCTCCAGAGTAACCACCCCTGCCCCCCACTCCCCAAAGAGTGGCTTGCCCATCGCGGGCTACCCACAACTCCTTGGTGGATCCAGACCCTGACAGACCCACTGATGAGAGAGCCCTATGTGCTTGCCTGTCCACAGGATCCACAAGTTTGACCTGGCGGTGGAGCAGGGGGGCTTCACTGGGGACCATGGTCCCCCGGAAATCCTTGGTCTTGCCAATGTACCGGTAGTGCTGTTCAAGAGAGGGCGAATGTCAGCATGCCAGGGGTGGGAAGGGCTCGCCTTCTGCTGCTCGTGCCTTCGGCGGTCCAGGTCAAGGGGGAAATGGGTTCAGTTGTGCCGCTGTGCCCTGTGTGGCTCTCAGGGAAGAGGGGCAGAGGGGATGGGCTTCCAGAACAGCCCCATACTCGTTCATCACTTACTGTGTTCAGTCCCTCCAAGACCACCCAGTTACGCTGCCGGATAACTTGGACCACTTTGCCCTGCTTCCCAGCATCCTTGCCTTCTAGGATCTCCACCTGTGGGAAGATGCAAGGGTCAAAGAAGAGGGAGACCTTTGCCTCCTGGTGGCCTCCTCTGCCCCTGGCTTGAGGCTCTTACCGTGTCTCCACAGAAAAGATGCCAGTCTTCATCTGAGATGGGCTCCACAGCCACTCTGCGCCGCCTGGTCCCTGGCGGATTCTTCCTCTTGTCTGCCAGGGAGCCTGGGCGGCTCATCCCGTAGCGGTAGTGTGGAGGCAGGGTGACCTTGGATGCCAAGGCCAGCAAGGCAGAGAGACGCATGGCTGGAGATGGCGAGAGTGCTCTTGCCAGAGATAGGCTCCTCAGTTCTGGGCAGGGAGGATGGACAGAAACAATGCTGAACTTTGGTAAGAGCCTCGTCTGACTCCTCCCAGGATGACACTGTTTTATGATAGAGGGAGGAACAAGCTAGTGTCTCATCCAAAGAACCTAGAGATATCAGATCTCAGAGTTCATGCACGTCAGGAAAGCCAGGGGCCATGTTAACTGGCTCACTCTTGAACCCAACACTTGGCCAGCAGTGCCTGGAACATAGTAGGCACATAATAAAGGTATTAAACAAAAGCCTGCACAGCAGGATAGAACAGAAGTAGGTAACAGAACAAAACCCGGGACACAGGGCCAACAGGCAAGGCAGTCATAGGCAAAATGAACTGCGGTTAAAGGGTTGGTGTAGTGGCCTAACGGGTTAAGTTGTTGCCTGGAATTTTTCAACAAGAATGAACCCTAACTTCAAAATACAAATAAAGTACACCATCATGGCAGAAAGAGCACTGGCCTGGGAGGTCAGCCCACCGGACTTCCTGCTGGCCTCTGGTTCCTGCCCACTGTTGTCCTGAGTGACCCTTAGGGTAGTTTATACATATATATGTGAGGGTAGGGGTGGGAGGGATATATATATGGGAAGAGAATGGTAAACTAATGTACTTGTTCTTGAGGAAAATGAGAGGGCTGTTAATTTCCCTTTTTATAGGGTTTGCAATTTCTAGATAATTATTTTTCTTTTCATCTCAGTATATATATAAAAAAGAACCCAATGCTATTTTCTATTAAAACTGGTTAGAGATAAGAGCCTAAGATAAGCAATAAAGGAACTAATAAGTAAGCACACAGCCAGTGCTATGGGGCCCTGCTATGTGTCAAACCCAACACTGCAAATGTCACTATTGTTGGCATTTGCTCTTGAACTTCACTAAGGGAGGTTGCTCTTTTAGATTTATTTATTTATTTATTTATTTGGAAAGGCAGATCAGATTTATGGAGAGGAGACATCTGTGGAAGCTAGGAGCTTGTTCCAGGTCTCCCTCGTGGATGCAGGGTCCCAAGGCTTCGAGCTATCCTCCACTTTCCCAGGCAACGAGAGGGGAGCAGGATGAGAAGTGGAGCAACCGGCACCCATAAGGGATCCCGGCGCTTGCAAGGGAAGGACTTCAGACATCGAGCCTTCACACCGGGCCCCTGAGGTCCCTTCTATAGGAAGGAGGGAAGAAGTTGTCCTAGCAAGGCTCACCCTAAGAGCTCCATCGTCGCTGGAGGGGGAGGAGGGTCTCAGGAGCGCCCAGACCGGAGCAGCCTACACGCCCCTTTGATCTCGTCTCCGCCAAATCGGAAGAAGCTGCCACCGCAGTGGCTTTTACCACCCGTTCCGGGGGCGCCACTCACGGCGAAGGGGTCGCACGTGTCACACCCTCCCAGCTCCAAACACGGATCTCAGACATCGCCAGACCCCAAGGCCATCTTCCACACGCACCCGCTCCAAGCTTGTCCAGTACAGAGAAAGCCTGCGTAGGCAACTCAGCCCCAGCTAAGGAAAAGAGAGCCCTTCCCACACCTGCCTCCCGACGAACCCAGGCGCTACAACACCTCTGGGTAGCGCAGCCCTCACCTCCGCTTCCCGCTCCACCTCCGCGCCTCCGCCTGTCACCTCGGCACGTGGCCCTCAGCCCCACCCTCCTCACTCATTTTCTGGGAAATGTAGTCTAATGGGAGAGCAGACGCCCAACCACGAAGTTAGCCTCTCAGCATGCTGGGAGTTGTAGTCCGCCACAACGTCGTAAACCGTGGACAGGAAATTCAGATTAGAAAATCCCCTGGCTGAGAACATCGTAAGCATGCCGGGAGTTGGAGGCAAACCGTGATAGGCTGAAGTCATTTGCACAGTCCTGCGCATGTTATCTATGGAGGCTGCTGGGAATTGTAGTCTCTAGAGATGGCTCCATTTTCTAGGTGACTGTGGCTTATTCAAAGCTAAGGGCGTTTCGTTGGCAGCAGGACTACAGCCAATAATACCCTCCTCGCTTTCTGCTAAAAGTAGCCAGGACAGATATGCCAAACTCCTACGCTTCCCAGAGGAAGGCATGAAAAGTGGGCCCTTCCAACGTTTGTAGAATTATCTAGTCACAAAATGTCAGATTTGGAAGGAAACTAAGAGGATCAGATCCAGTTGGTTCTGTCTGATAAGGGTTCCACCAGAACTCCAGCAGCTTAGCCCCCTCATCTCCCACGCTCAGTTAAGGGGATAATTATGTTTCTCTGGGGAGATTCCAATTGCTTCCACAGCTGAACACTTCCACCTTATGGCTGCCATGGGCTATGGTCAATACTGACAGTCCCACACCCACTACTTACTGTGCAAACTTCAAAAGCAGCATATCAGAGATCTTTCAGCTTTTTATTCATTCCCCCAAACTCCTGCAACAGTTGGACTGGGCTAGGCACAAGCCAGGAGGCAGTAACTCCTGCCCCACTGATCTGCCATTTGACAAAGGACTTGAGTACCTAGCCCACACCTACTGCCTCCCAGAAACCTTAGCAGGAAGCTGGATCAGAAGCCTGGACTGGATTCGGGCACTCCAATTGGGAATGCAAGCAACTCAGGCTGCAGCTTAATTTCTTTCTCTGCTTTTTCCTTTTAACTCTCCCAGGTCCTCATGGAGGAAACCCATGTTGAAGGGGCCAGCAGGTGCACTCTGGGGTCTGCCCTCACACAGAGGTCTGGATTTCCATCCCCTGGGATTGGTGGGTGCCCATCCTTTCCCTTCAAGTTGACTGGGTAGTCAACTTGCATTCCCCTTTCCTGCTCCCCCTCTTTGGTTTATCAACAACATTGCTGCAAAGAAATCAGTCAGAATCCAGGATAGTAATCAACGGGTTTTATTTTTCCTAGAACTGAAATTGTCTACGGTTTTCAGAGCTTAACGTCCAAAGCTACAGTCGGCAATTTCTCATCAGAGCCCAAGGGAGAGGGGACAAGGGTGAAGGAGACAGAGTGGAGGCATGGAGAGACCACCAGGGAGAGGCTGGGAGTCAGCACGCATTTCCCTGTGTCCTCTCAGTGGCTTAGGGATCAGGTCTGGTGACAACACCGAGGGAGACAAAGGGTGTGTTGTGTGTATAGAAGTGACACCAGAACACCAGAGTCCCAAAGAGAAGGGGGAGCCTTCAAGTGCACCTCAAAAATGGGAGCAACAGTGGGGATGAGGCAGAATGGAGAGCACACAAAAGGGTGGGGTGGGAATCCTTAAAATTTTTTTGTAATTTTCTTTTATTAAAAACATTTCCTAAAAAATGTGTCATTTTCATTTGTCTGGGTGATCTCTGTCACCGAAGGCTGGCCTAGAGCACTGTAGGGGAGGGAGGGATGGAGGGAAGGAAAGGGCAGCTTGCGGGGGGGGGGGGGGGGTCCTCCCCAGGGCATCCCATCTCTCACCCCTGAGATCTGAAGCAGGACAGATGCACAATACCCCATCCAAACAGGCCAAGCTGACACTTTGGGTCTTGGGTCCTTGGCCCAACAACTTTTGGAACCAAGCCCCTACACATCTCTTCTGATGATAAACTACAACTCCCAGAAGTCCCAGGGGTCAGCAAACAGCAAGAATGGATGTTGTTAGTCATCAAGGATTTATGGTAGGGCACCCTTCGCCTGTGCAAACTGTCCTGCTTTCCCTGAATCTAGGCAGCTGGCGAAAGAGGTGTGGAAGGATGGAAGGGGAGCTCCAAAAGACATTCCCACCCCATTTGAGGACTACCTCTCCCAAGCCCAGGTAGCCACCCTGTTCATGCTCTGTCCCTTCCTCTCTCCTCCTGATCCCCACCCAGAGGTCCAGAATGCCTGGGGGACAGGGAGGGGCAGAGGGATGTTGGGAGGTGGAAGTTGCTGCCAGCCCCAACAGGAGCCCTGGGGAACATCTGTAAGCAGGACAGGGCAGCAGTAGCCTCATCCCCTCCCAGAGAGCTGAAGCCTGGCCCCCCACTCATCTCAGAAGTGATGGGACCTGGAAAGTGAGGGTTGGGTGGCTTACCCCATCTGGTTCCACCTCCAGGGGCTGGGCTTAGAGTGGGGAGAGTGAGGGGCAGAACAGGAGAGCGGGTTGGGGTGGGAAGAGGGGTTCCCAGTTTGCAGGCCACAGCCAGTTTCCCCAGTAGCACCCAGACAGCAGCAGGAACGGGGCGCGGGCTCCTCTTGAAACACTGGTGGCTACAGGCTATGGGGGAGGCAGTAGGGAACAAGGGTTACAGGAGGACCCAGCGCCATCTCCACCTACCAGTCCAGCTGTGTCCAGCTGTGTTGCACTGCCCAGAAGCTCCCAGTGCAGGCTCTGCTGCCCCTCAATGCCCTCCCAGTCTTGCAGGCTTGCTCACCTCTCATGATCTCTGACACCGGGGGCCTCAGCATCCTCCTTGGGGGCCGCTGCCTCCTCTTCCTCCTCTTCCTCCTCCTCCTCCGGAGGTGGCCCCCGGCCAGAGCCAGGCTCAGACGGGGTGCTGTTCTTCTCCACCTCCACAGTGGCTGCTGCCTTCTCCTCGCCTTCAGCATCTTCTGCCTCCTTGGGACGTTTAGGGGAGTCCTACAGGGTATTGGTGAAGACATGCGGGGCTGAGGCCACACAGTCCTTCACAGGCGCTCCAGCTGCGGCACATGCCCCCTCACAGCAGTTACCTCCAGCGTGTCCCCCGCTCTCCTCTTCAGTGTCCCCTTCTCATTCTTTTCCTTGGCCGGCTCGTCGATAACCAGCTTGCCTTCTTCATCACTGCTCCCCTCGGCATTGCCCTTCTTATCACTGTCCCTTTCTGTGGCCTCAGGCTCGGGCTCGGCCTCTTCCACGGAGCTCTTTTTCTGGGACGACTGCAGCGGAGACAGAAAGGGCCTGAGTGGCACCAGCGGCTCCCCCTGCTTGGAGGGGGAACACCCCCCTCCCCGGCCCCGGACCCCTCCCTCGGCCACTCGCTCCTTCCTTCTCCCACCTCACCCCCACCCCCACCCAGGTGCCCAGTCTCACAGGTGATTTGAGACCCACCTCTGGCGGATTAGCCCCGGGATAAACCCACTGGCCGGGCAGGCAGGGCTCTGTGCAGGAGGGGGGAGGGCTGGAGCAGGAGGCAAAACCTCGGGTCAACTTCTCCCGGAGGGAGCTGGGACCCTTTCCCCGCCGACCCCCGCCCCCCACCCTCCCGCCTCCACCTGCCCGGCTCACGAGCACCTCCTCCTGGAAGCCTTTGTTGCAAACACTCCAGGTCATGTCCTATACTCCCGCTGGGCCCAGCGTAGACATGTCCCCACTTACCGCCTCAGTCCTGTTGTTGTCCCCAAAGCACAACTACATGACACACCCACAGGCCCAAGCCAAACCCCCAACCCCAGCTCCTACCCAGAGCCCCAGGGTGTGTTGTGTGTGAGCGCTCAGTGTCACCTGTGGACCCAGGGCTCTGGAGCCCATGGCCACACCTGCTTGCTGGAGGGGTGTGTGTATGTGTGTGTGTCTCTCTGAGCGGACGGCGGCTCACCTGGTAGCCAGATGCCTTGACTGTAGGGTTGTTCTCAATCTCCCACAGCCCCTCGCTGAATCCTTTCCTCTTGTTGGGCTTGCCAAACTTCTCCTTGGACTCCTCGTAAGGGAAGAGGTCTTTGGGGCCCAGGAATGCCCTGGTGAGAGAGGGGAGACTGTGCTCTCGAGCCTTTGCTGCCCCTGCACTTACAGCATGTCCATGGAGGGGTGCTGTCACCACCTCCTTCCTCAGAGGTCCTCCCAGGGCCCCCATCTCCCAACACCCCATCAGTGTGCCAGCCCCTCAACTCACGTCTCGTGGGTCCCAAAGAAAAAGACTTGATACTTGTTGGCTGTTGACTTCACGGTGGCCTCGGGCATCTCGTCAATCTGGAAAGGGAGAGATGGAGAAGTGAGCAAGCACAGGCCAGAGTCCTGGTGTGTTTAGAGGTTGCTGGTACATACGGCAGCTGGGACAAAGGACTCAGGGTCACTGAGTGGCTTTGGAGCCATTTTTAGCAGGGTGGTTAGCTACGAAGGCCTATCAGAAACTCCACCAGAGCCACTGTTTCTGCTTTACCTGCCAGAGAGCACAATACAGGTGACAAATCCCTGGGTCCTTGCCATCATCAGCCTGGCACTGCTTCTCATTCCACCACAAAACATAGCCTAGACCTCTTCTCAGAGTGCATTGTTTTCCCCATGACAGCTATAGGGCACCTTTTAAGAGCTTTTAAGAGCTGCTCCAGGCCCCTAAAGTCTGCACACCTGCTGCCATGGCCGGCATGAGCATGGGCAGTTCCTCACCAGCCACAGTACTGAGCCCCAGGGTGGTAAGATCCGAATGGCCATAAGCTGGTCCTAACACATGAGTGCCACCTCTGTGCTGCCCTCTCATACTCCCCTGCCAATTCCTGGTCACCATCCCCACCTCAGTGCCCAGGGGAGACTCTCCACCACCTCTCCTTGGAATGCTTTTCCCAGTTCTGATTTTATAGTGATTCACATTTCTCCCTCAGCTTGGCAGCTGTGTTGACTCTGGACCACACCCTCAGGGAGGGCAGAGACCAGGTCTGCTTTTATCCTCTGCATGGTGCCT